TATTTACTTTATTTTTTAATGAATATTCTTTGCTGATCTGCGCTATGGTAAATAAGTATTTTTATTTTTTAAGAAAGATTTTACTGTTAGTAGTCTGCTTTACGCAAAATATAGAAGTTTGGCCTTCTATATATTTTTTTCAGGAATATAGTATTTGACCCTCTAATATATTAGGATACTATATCATATAGTAGGGTTGGCAACCCTAACTGCTAGTAATAAATAGAAGAAGATACCTATATAACAGAAGTAGAACTGTAAAATAATTAGTACCTACAAACCATTGTAATATGCCGTTACGCAGCTTCAAAACTTCAAAATAACATTCCGCTGACTCATCTAACGAGGTGCGATGCTAACGTCCTTGGCCGTCCTCTAACCCCAGGTTAAGTTAAGACGCCAAAAGTTTTTATACGATCGCCCGTTGTGGCCGGCCATGCGTTAAAATTTAACGGACGAATTCGACCTGCCACAAATTGTCAACTGACGTCCGCCCGAGTTGAATATTAAATGAAATGTTAGTGTACCAAACCAACTAACCGATTTATTGTTAAAGAACCGCCTTCGATCGGTATTGTTGACCGAAGAAAACCTGATTGACGACCTCCGTGGCCGAGTGGTTTATACGCCGGGTTTCATGGCGTCGCCGACTAGAAAGGTCCCGGGTTCGAATCCCGGTGGGGTCAGATGTTTGTATGATGAATACGAGCATTTGTACACCAGTCATGGATGTTTAATATGTATTTCTATATAAATATACTTATATATCTACAATATATGTATTCTATCCGTTACCATAGTATCCCATAACACAATCCGAAGAGACACAAGCCTAGGAGTTAAAAAAAAAACCTTGTAATGTTCCCTATTACGCTGTTCACAGATTTAGCCAGGGTCATACCAAACAGCAAAAACTTGCTAAATGTTGCTGAATATAATATTTGACAACACATACCTAGTTCATTATAATTAAGGAAATTTGAAATAACACCAATATTACCACCTCCACCTACTCTTAAAGTTGACTCATAATGTATGATCATTATCCATTCCACTTTAACTTAAAACTACTCGTATAAAACTATAGGTTACCCGAAATTAAACGTATTCCATATTTATAGGTATTTTTATTCGTAGGTAGGGTAGAGGGTCCGTTTGACAGTGACACTTTTGCTTTTACAAATCTTTAAAAAACTATGAAACTCTCGGACAATCCGAAATAATAATAAAATTCCGTATGGATATCGTCCGTAATATACATCCAATAACATTCTTAATAATAACTTCAAAACTCTAGAAAGGATCCATTATTTTCTCCATACAAGTCTGCCCAATTTTGTACCTCAAGTATTAATCATGCATTTATATACCGATTTTTTTAAAAAATATAAATGATATTTATTATCCACTAGTACCACATTTTTTTTCAATCATTATAATTAATGGAAACACAGATAATACATTATGGTAATATGTTTATAAGAATTAGCTATGGAAATCACCAGATTTTTCATACAACAACAACAATCAAGGAAATGAATTTAAACCAATAATAGTATTAGCTGTTTTTTTTACGCAGATTCCCTATATTGATTCCGATATTAAGCTTTTTTTTTATTGTATTGAGATTTTAATAAGCGAGTCATTTTATGCATAATTTTAGATATTTTTTGGGATAATTTGTATATCTTGGTACAAATTACCCAAAAAATATCTAAAAGGGGCAAAAATCGAAGGTCTCTTTTCCGTTGTCTCCTGAGCACTGCTCTTACAAACGTTAGTAAATTATTATTAGACGGTACCTATGTACATACTTTCTAAAAATCAAATCTGAATAAAAGTCTAGGTATTGAAAATACTTTACTCAACATACCTAGTCGAATTGATTCGTTTAACGATTTGAAAATGGCAGCGAAAAGGACAGATGGCATTGCGTATGACGAGCTACAGGTTTTAAAGAAGTATTGTTCGACGTTTTTTTTTTCGATGCGTAAAATATCGTGTTACCTTGTTTGTTACATCATGTGCAATAATCCCGTCCGACAGAACGGTTGGTAAGCAATCGCACGTGACGGTATGAATGGGGTTGATGAAAGGGCAGGAAGCTCGAAGTGCAAGGGCAACGGGTGCGCGTGAGCCGATTAAAACTGCCCGAGATGACGTCATTGCTCCAAATAATTATGACTGTATTTCGATTCATTTACCTACTGAATAATACTCGGCGTTTTGAGAAGAAATATGTCTTTGAATTTATGGAATTCAAAGCTTACAGAAAAATATTTCATATCAAAGAATCGTAACTTTTATGGGAAATGTTTGATTGTAGGACAAAGTTGACAGAGATTTCTTCTAAAGCAATAAGTGAACATAGCTTAATCGTTATAAGGACAACAAATCAAATAATATGCAAAATTTTGTACCTCAAATATTATCATGAATTTATGTGTAGGAAAATAAGCCATATCCCAACGATTAATATCGTTGGCGTATCCATCAAATATTTTAATGGAATTTATTAACCACATGTAGGAACTGCGTAATGTTTTGTGTTAATAAATATGGATCATCTACTTCCTGTAAAATTATCACTATTTTTAAACAAACCGAACTGAACTTATTCCATGTGAGGATATGATTCGGTAGTACCGACACAACTTATCTGCGAAAAGCCAACCAGCGTTGTAAGTTGTAACCATGGAGCAAAATGTTGTACCATCGCTCAATCCCTGTTATGTTCAGTAGATAAGGAATTTTTCAACAAGGTGTATAGATATCAATACCACCTATTTATTACATTTTGTGAAAATGCTTATTACATTACATTATTATTATTCCTACATTATCCCTGATGAACATAGACTATAGAGTATTTTCAAAAAAGTAAGGGTTCCGTATGAAAATTTCGATTATGTAACCCGACGTGTGAAAAAAATACCAAAAAATGCTCAATTGTTAATATCTTCCGCACAGTACGCGATATAATAAGGTTATTTTTTGGTATTTTTTTTCACACATTGGGTTAAGTAATTGAAATTTTCATACAGAGTATGTTCATCAGGGATAATGTAGGTTTCTAAACATGAAATAATTTTACAAATCGGTCCCGTAGTTTCGGAGCCTATTCAATACAAACAAACAAATATTTCCTCTTTATAATATTAGTATAAGACTACTTCTTCGTGTAGAATTAAATATGCAATAGAAAAGCGTACAAGCTAGGACACATTACTTGTACCCAGGTATTAATTCTTATCCAAATAAATCACTTCTTATTCAAGACCATTTCCAAGTTTATTACCATTCAAAAGTTATCATGAGTGCAATAATTATCAGCCTTATTACTAAACGTAGACTAAAGTTCAACCTGGACTAAAACTAATGCTGTCACTTTTGTTTTATAAAAAGAGATAACATTAGGTTTAAACCAAGACTAACTTTATGCCGCGTTTTGGAGTAAAGGGGTCAAAGTTTATCTGTAAAAATATTTCAAAATCGATACCACGTTTACCAATGTAAGTCTGTTTGAAACAAAAATTAGCTCCTACTTTTGAAATACATAGGCACTGTCCTTGTAACTGAAATATTTTCACAACAAAGAGTAATATTGCTAAAACCCCGGTACGCTTGCACGTCCGTCCATTCTTCATGAGTGCGCCCCTCTACCATTTGGCCAACTTTACACTCGGAATCGATGTCTTGCGAAACGTGTTAACAATGGAATTTGTAAATACTTCGAAACGGTTACAATAAAAAGGCGTTAAATGCGGTATAACATAACAATAGATGTCTTTAATAATATATTTGACAGAATAATTAGTCCGTCGTGGTTACTACTACTTAGCTACCGTTTCATTGAAGGTCTAGTCGTGGGTATTTAAACAATAGCTCCATTCACGGACTAGATAAAATATTTTTGAGTTTTTGTTGTTTACGAGTTTTTCACTTTACTTATTGACAATATAAACCTAAGAGATATTATGTAATAAATACTGTTCTAGTTTATTTGACGACCTCTGTGGCTAAAGTTGGTATGTACGCCGGTTTCTAGGTGTCGCCTACTCAGACGTCCGAATAGGGTTGCTATATATTAGGGGAAGAAATACATTTTTTTTAAGAAAATATATAGTCGGCGAAACTACAATATTTTGCTTAAAGCAGACTTATACCAGTATAAGCTTTCTTAAAAATAAAAACTTAATTATTAAGGCATGTAACAGCAAAATATATTAATTTCAAATAATAAAGTACATAAATATTTTAGGTAATCACATACTACGTTTTTTCCATTTTTTGCCATCTACTATTTTTATAGAGGCAACATATTTGATAGAAAAAAAGTTGGTAACCAGAGGTCCGAAGCCCGGTGAGGCAAATGTTAAAATTAAAGTCATAGATGTTCATAAATATTTCTAGATAAATATACTTGTATATGTATGAGGAGCTCGATGGCGCAACTGGTTAGCGCGTTCGGCTGCGATCGTTGAAGTTAAGCAACTTTCGCAGTGGTCAGTCATTGGATGGGTGACCAAAAATTTACCATCTCGAGCTCCTCCGTGCTTCGGAAGGCACGTTAAGCCGTTGGTCCCGGTTGCATCTGCAGTCATTAGCACCCACCAATCCGCACTGGGCCCGCGTGGTGGGTCATGGCCCAATCTCCCTATTCCATCCATAGGGAAGGCCTGTGCCCCAGCAGTGTGGACATTAATAGGCTGATGATGATGATGATATATGTATCAGTTTTTTATATTTTATCCTTTACCATAATATCCTATAACACAAACCTTACTTTGGGGCTAGGTAAATTAGTGTGAGTGTAAGAAATATTTATTATTTAGCACAAGGTACTGACACAATCCTTTCACCAAAAGTGTTGGATAAAAATGAACTTTATGACTTTTTGATAAATTCTCTTTCCCTGTGGTTATTAAAATCAAAATGGTTTTATTTTATTTACTTTTTTTCTTTCCTCTATCTAACCAGGCAATTTTATTTATTTGCAGGGTAAACATCAAAGTGGAATTACATTCACAAGTACAGAAGAACCTGTGAAATTGCCAAAGCCGATCCCCGACATTCGTCTGGTGGACGGGCCTTCAATCCTAGTTGGAAGGGTCCAGCTTTTACACCGAGGACAATGGCGCTCTGTGTGCACAAATTCTAGAAAGTACGTATATTGAACTCGAATTGTGCAAACGTTACTTCCAAAAAGTAGAAGCAAATAGTGCTACATGTTTGAAAAAATAGTAACCCTTGAGTAATTTTACTTAAATTAATTATTTCCAGTTGGACAATCAACGACATGGAAACGGCGTGTAGACAGCTTGGCTTCATGGGGGGATCGTTTTACAACTGGATGGATCGCCAACCCGGACGACGGCCGAGACTCCTGTTCGAAGAACCAAATTGTAAAGGAACCGAATACGACTTATTTCAATGCGACTGGAACTCAAGACAGCTCGGCTCGGGCGTCTGCGATTTCCATCCTGATCTCGCGATCCAATGTCTTCCACATCACGATGACAACGAATTAGGGAATTCAGGTAGACATTGGAGAGGCATACGATTCGAAAACGCCGTTTACGAACGAATACTAACCGCAGTTAATACGCTATACGTCCCCACTTCGATGTCTAGACTTGTTCATGTTACCATAAAAAACGCAGGCCTCGGGAGGGATAACAATGCAACTAGTGCCTTAGATATTATTGGAGTGCCACCAATTATGGAAGACATAGAGATATCGGACTCCGCCTTCAACGCTATTAATGTGACGTCACCTGACGCTCCCATCATTATTAACAATTGTACTATACAAAACAATAAAGGGTATGGTGTCTACGTGAACTCTACGTATGGAATGGCTAAAATTGAAAATTGTTCAATTCACGACAACGGAGGCGACGGTATCAAGTACGTAGTTCACGAAATGAATATAGATGGACGACTCGATCGAAGCGAAATATTTGATCTGTGCACGCTGGCTTCCACGCCGAGTCAAACATTTCCATTGCAAATGTCTATCGAACAATCGAGGTATTCTAATATGGAAAGAGATTGTAGTCAGAAATTTTTCACTAGATCTGATCATGTACTTACTTTAAATTTTATTAAACTTCTTACAAATCAAAACGAGACTGGTGAAATTTTCGTTCACGACGGTCTTACGCCAGATGATAGATTACTATTGTCATTCAGTATAAAGAACCATACGCGGCCGCAAAGTGTTACTTCCACGAGGAACAGAATGTACGTTAGATTTCGAGCAAATACTAGAACTGATATTGTGGGATTTTTAAGACTGACGTCAGGTGCAAGCAAAATGTATGATCTGAATGTCACCGATACAATAATATCTGACAACAATGGACGAGGCGTTGTTATAGAGAACTTAAGATCACAAATTCATATACATCGCACGTCGATATCTAATAACAATCATGTAGCCGGTCTCCATGTTGTTAACGGAGCCGGAGATGTTAACGTAACAGAAAGTAGAATATCCTTCAACCAAGGAGATGGTATAAACATTACAGTAACAGGTGGAAACAGAAATATATCGAGAAGTATTATAAGCTCAAATCAAGGTTATGGTTTAGCTGTGTGGCTCAATAACACTCAGGAAACTGAGTACATTCCAGTTAATCAGACTACAGTTGTTGAGTATTCAGAAATATTTAAAAATTTAGATATTGGCATACTACACGGAAACTTTTGTGGTGACAGCTGGATAAATATCACCGGGAACTGGTTTAATTCCAGTGTTGAAAGTACAATAGACATTTCAACTTGTTGGAGATTGAATAACCCAAGCAAATCCCTGTTTTTACAAATAGGTCATAACCGATTTTACCAAAATCAAAAAGTTCCATTGAAGATACAACCAGCTTTAAATGTGTTAGGTAGAATTGAATATAATTACTTTGAACATGGTAGTTATGGTGCAATGGTGATTATGAACCGCATAGAAGGAAAATATTTAGAAGAATTTGAAATACTTCCTGCTAGATTTGATATTCAGCATAATTATTTTTTCGGCAATAAGGGCCCGTTTGTTGTGAACCTGGGTCTTTCACCGTATAGTGATATTCAATACATTTTATTCTCACGCAATTTCTTAAGAGACAACAGAATACGTGAGCCATTTGAACCCATAGAAGGAGTTTCTTCTCGCCTTATTCCTAGAAGCAGAGTTGCGGCAACTATTGTCATAGCATCCAGTAATATAGATGTTTTTAGAAACATCATCAATAATCCAGAAGCCCAGTACGAAATAGGTTCACATGTTGAAGATCAAAGTAAAATTCTGAATTGCACCTACAACTGGCTTGGTTTTGGTGAGGAAGAAAAAGTGTACAGAAGATTGTTTCACAGAAAAGATAGATATAATCTTGCTAAAATAGTTTACATGCCTTACTTGTTGCATAGTAGTAATCCTGGTGCTACACAAATAAATTTCAACTCGCTTTACGTTCCCCAATTTAATGTTCCCGGATCCTTAGTAGTTGGCGGGGAAGTCGAAGGCATTGAAATTTTAAAACCTGGAGAATACGATGTTGACAAAGATATAAATATACGACCGGGAGGTAAACTTATATTGCAATCTGGAGTAACGTTGAAATTTCCACCGGCCATTGGTATGATGGTTGGTGGAAAATTAGAAGCTAGGGGAAAACGCCCTAATGATATTTCTTTTACTCTCAAAGAAGAAGTTATTATGACAAATGATAGTGTATATGAAACTGAACTCGAAATTGAACTAACTACTCCAGGATACATTGAACCTATTGTGCCGATAAGGTTACTGGGTGGACGAACTCAGCATGAAGGTAGATTGCAAGTAAGAATAAACGAAAAGTGGGGAACTGTATGTAACTACAGATGGAATATAATGAATGCTGCTGTAGTTTGCAATCAACTTGGTTTTGCACTAAATCCGGATGATTGGTTTTTAGAGCCTTACGAAATACCTTCTGCCGGAATTACTGAAGATATTATACTGTCTAATGTTGAATGTACAGAATTTGATAGTGACATAACTAAATGCAAGGCAGAAACCAGAGACCAATTCGAAAATTCTTGCACTCATGAAAATGACGTAGGCATTAGATGTTATGAAACCAGCTGGGCTGGAGTAAGATTTAGTGTTATTTCAGAACGCACGGATTTACAATACGTTACTATTGAAAAAGCTGGTCTGCTTGATTATTCATCGAATTCATTCAAACCAGCACTTCAAATGGATTTCGCTCGTCATGGCCTCGAAAGCGTAAGAATATCAAATAACTACCATGATGGTTTAGGAGTTCTATACTCTGATTTGTATGGTGCCGATGCCATTAATACTGTCAGAAATTCAGAGTTCAGTAACAATAGAGGGAGCGGCATTAGTTTTAAGCAGTTGGGTCTAAAAGTCCACACTTCTCTGATAGAAAATAATGAAGTTGCTGGGATTTCCCATAACCCCCATTTGACTGGTCTTCAACAAAGAGAAATAGCTGGATGGTTTAATTTAGACCCCGGATTCAATATGGATGAATCAAATTACCGCCCTATATTCATTCCAGATTATGAAACTGATATAAGTTTGGTAAACGGTGAAACAAGATATATAGTATTTTCTAAACACTACGGTGAAAATGTTATGAAGACTTTCAACATAAGATGTAATCCTGGCTATGTACTTGGATTACAACTTTTAAATCCTATTCATAATTTTTCGACTGAAAATATTTGTATTTATGATTCGCAAAATATCAATAGCGGAAGTACTCAGTGGTGCCTTGACCGCGATTTATCTACTTTTCCTACTACCAGTAACAGTTTTGGTATAGTTTTGACATATGAAAGTGGAAATGCTGCTCTAGGTGGAGTTGTATTAGTAGTGAGTACAATAGTTGCTCCCGTTCAAAATCTTAGAAATCGAATTGTGAAAGGTCCAGTGCCAACACTTCAAGTTAAAAATTCAAGAATAAAAGGAAACACAAAGGGCGTTAAAGCTCTATACTACAACAGATATTTAAATGAGCTAGGTGACCATTTCCTACGAAAAGCTAATGAGAGCATAAAAATATTTAACTGTGAAATTGCTCACAATAAGGAAGAAGCTATATACGTCAATACACCTTTCTGGGATATTCATGACAGTAATATAACCGAAATAACTATAATGGTGAACAACAGTTTGATTACTGATAATGGTAAAGGAATCTACCATTTTGCAAGGGATTTAAGAAGTTCAAATAATCTCTATCATTACGTTTTACAAGATAACACAGTCGAGAGAAATAAATTAGGTGGATTTGATGTAGCATTACCATATGTTTGGCAATACAATGAAAACTTTACACATTCAGTTTATATGCATAATAATACGTGGCGTAACAATATGAACTTTGGAGTCATAATTGATGGGCATTTTGCAGAAATAAATATAACGAAAAATATATTTACCGACAATAACTGTAGAAACGGTTTGATTTCAATACGAGGAATGGAGAAGAAAATGAAAATAGATGGCAATACTATAGAGAGAAATAACGGACGCTTCATGGTCCAATTCTTTATGGACAGCCAGAGTGAAATTATGGGTCTTGTGTATGCCGTGTTTGCATATAATCAAGTGAGAGATAACAGGCACGTCGCTGTAATGAACCGTGGTGCCCTAATGCGTAGCGTAGATCCAACTTACGTAATTGGTTTCAAAGGGATTCAAAAGGTAAAAGTTAGTAGAAACCTTTTCGGAAATAACGACTTGCAGTATACTTTAGTTGCAGGTATTCAAACAGCAAAAATCAACAATCTCCTGGACGTTACTGAAAATTGGTGGGGAAGTGCTGTTCAAAAAGATATTAAGAAAAAAATTTTCGACTTTGATGATTGGAATAATCATGCTATTGCTACGTATCTACCGTATCTACTCGAGGATAATTTTGATTCTAATGTATCTCCTACGTTTAGCACAGATGCAGAAATTGATACAAATGAATTGGGGGGAAGATTGCTTACAGACCTTACGTTAGAGTCTCGATTGACTCCATACATAGTAAAATCAGATATAACTGTTATGCCCGATAAAACCCTTACTATCAGTCCAGGTGTAATTTTGGAATTTCCTCCTAATGTTGGAATTCTTGTATTGGGTAATCTTCAAGCCATCGGTCATATTCAATTACCAATAATAATGCGACCTGTCACACCTCCGAGTAACGTTGAAACGAATGGAATTGAGAAACGGGAAATTAGTCAATATTCTTCGAAACACCACAATAATAAACGACAGTTAGAAAATTTTGTAGTACTTGATTCAATTAGACTTTGCACAGGAAGAAATTGTACGGTCAATGATAATACCGTTGAGAGAAAAAATGAAGGATTTTTAGAATACTTTAATAGGACAACTTTACAATGGGTACCCATGTGCGATAATCGATTCACTGAAAGGAACGCCCAAGTAGTCTGTCGAGAGCTTGGATTCGATCCAATTAACGTCTTTTTCGCATACGATCGTCGTGTTGAGTATCATAGTAATTCTTTGTCACGAATATGGTCATGGCCAGAACCACTACAGTGTGCAGGAACTGAAGATCGCTATGAAGAATGCCCTATTAGACTAAACGGACAACTATATGGGCATAGGCATGAATGTAAATGGGATTCCGACTTCGTATTCATCCATTGTGGAAAGAGAAATTTAGAGGAAAATTTAGACTATTGGGGTGGTATCAGATTTGCTAATCCAGAATTTGAATATTCTCTGTATGAACACCGTATTCATGATCATCATACACACGAAACTATGAAAAAAGCTGAAAGCTCTTTATCACACATACAGATTGTAGGTGCTGGTATTTTACACAGTGAAAAGTCGCCTGCTATTCAAAGTATAATGCGAAATCCCAATATACGAAATGTTAATATTACTAAATGTGCTTATCACGGCATAAATTTGGTATCTCCTACGGATTCAGTCAATATGATTTTTAATTCTGTAAATGATGTATTAGGGGAAGGAATTAATACCATATCACTTAGTGGTGAAGGTAGAGAATCGGAAGAATCAAGCTTTACACCTCTAAAGGATCTCAATCTGCCATACCACATGTTCTCACTCATAGACATCTGTGATAGTACGAAAATGGTCACTGTTGAAGAAAGAGTGCTGCTTTATTACAAATATGACAATAATCCTGTGAATTGTGTTAAGATTTTCAAGAGCATGTTTAGAGTGAAACCGTTCGGATTCAGATTACTACAATTCAATCTGTTTAACCATACACAAAACTACGGTAAGAGAGACTCGTTGACCTTATATGACGGTGACATTTACAACATCACAGCACCTATGATTGGCTACCTTGAAAACGGTTCACCGGATGAGAAGAAACTGTTTAGGACACAAGGAGCTAGTTTGAGCGTTAAGCTGTTTGCCAATGGAGCTTCATCAGTCCACGGGTTTATCGCCGAAATAGTCACATTACCAATATCTGCAATAGGATTCAGTAAGTTATTATGAATATGAACAATTTAGTGTTGACTTAGCAAAATAAGAGTAATGTGGGATTAAATTTACAGATCGCGACGTTCAGCATAACATATCCAACAGCGAGTTCATTAATAATAGAAATGGTGCAATAACATATCAGTCGGTAGGCGAAGTGAATCCATTAGTAGCTATTATTCGCAACGAAATGAGTGGAAACTGCCTTAAACTGTATGGGAACTTTACATCCTGCCAAGCCGCTGTAAGAGTTGACGTGCAGAACACCCAGACCCTGGTTTTTAGGGTTGGTAATTGTTATTTTATTGTTATTAAAGTAATGAGTATAGTGAAATGCTTATTTTAATCAAACTGTTTACAGAACAATCTGGTCCGAAACAACGTTGGAGGATTGCTTGTGAGAGCGGACTCTAGGGGTTCGGCTACATCTCTTCGAGGATGGGTCCATAACAATTTGTTTTTGGCCAATCATGACCTGCCATGTCTTCAAGTAGAAGGTTGGTTTACTATGTAATTTATCTCTCATAGTTATCGATTTTTTGAGTTCAAGTAATCTTGTATATAATAAAAAAGTTTACGTTGATTTTAGAATTTCTCATAGTAAGACCAAGACAAAATAATGATTCTACTTAAGTCGAAGCTATGATACTTTTCATTGAAAGATACTTACCTCTAGCATTCTTATGCATCTTTATCTCTTTCATTGGTGTTGACACTGGCATGATACTTTAAACATAAAACTAAATTTAACATCAGTCTTTCATTCATCATGACAAGGATGCACTGTTGTCTTATTGGTACTTGTTTATTTCAATGTTCGAATCTTCATCAGTTTTGCATCTTTATGTCTACAATTTTCTGACTTGACTGTAAGTAATTGATAATTTCAATGCCCTATATGTTTTGCTTCGTTTCAGGGCGTCAATCGTCACCTTACCAAGAGATCACCATCTACCGTAACTACTTCACACGGAACTTCGTGCAGTTCAAGGACGTCATCGTTTTGCGACAGGTCGTTTCTAACTTCACCCACAACTATGTTCACGATAACAGGGGCCAAAGGATATTAGAGGTGTCAGGGTTCGATAAAGTGAGATTGCCCATTTATCAGACCACCTCTCATAATGGATTCTATAAGTGAGTAAAATTATGAAAATGATTGTTTCTTGTTTCGTTCAACTCATAATGCCATATATATACAGTAATTTTATTCTCTTGTTAGTGAATTATGATAATTGGTAACCATACTGTAATACATTTTTAAAATTTAGTTAAGTTACTCGCAGACGACGGAATGTCTTCAAGATAAGAGTAGTTTAAATTAGTGATGTCAAACGAAAATTAGAGTAGTAAGTAAAATATTAAATATGTAAGTACTTATAATAAATTTTCTTTATCTTTTTTTAGGAATTATGCGTTAGATCGCGAGGGTCGAGCTACCGTCGTCGCCGGCACAGCTGGCCAACATTACGTAGATAACATTTTCTTCAACCCGGACAATGACTATGAAATGATAACCGTCAACAGATCTATGTGAGTAGTATTTCTTGTTAATTTTAAATGAAATATGCCCAACATAGTATTTTTGAATGGTTTAAAGTTTCATAATTATGACATATACATATAATCTGAATATATATATTTTTAAACATAGCGAGAGTTTACTGTCGTTGCTTTCTTTTACTTCTACATTGATGATATTATACTTTACGTTTCTTAATTGAATACCATGTTCAATGCATGATTGTCTTATGACTATATGCTAACGATGATATTTCTGATACGTGACTTATTTATATATTGTCTCATTTGCATGTTCTTGTTGCATGGCTGCCGTCGGATCATAGCTTTGTTGATTATAATCCGAACGTTGCAAGGTGAGTCAAAATTGATATCGTTTTAAGGATTATTATTTCTATGTATACATATAAGTTGTAGGTGTATTATATACGTTATTAAGGGTTCTTCATCAGTTAAAGGACATTGGGCAAAAATGTATGGACGCTGCACCCACGTCCGCCACGGCTTAAACTACATTTGTTTGAAAGGTATTATAGTCATGATTATCTGTGCCAAAGCGCATCAAATTCCATCCCGGGGGTTTTTAGTTATTTTAAGTTAAATGTGTACAAGTACTATAACGAACGAACATTAATGAAACATTGAATTAATTTAGTTACTTAGTTCGACACTACATTGGGTGCTCAGGAATTATGGGAGTACTTCACAAGGTGCAAGGGTGCCCCCTTATGCTATTTTTCCGCGCTAGAGTAAATCCAAATATCCCCGCATCGGTTGGTTTTTTTTAAACATTCTGTTCGTTATAGTAAATTGTCCGTTTTACATAGAAGATATGTAAAACGGAGCGACCACAGATTACACAAACTTGTCCACGCTTCGGAGAACACATAATTCCAAATCCATACTAATTGACAAAACCGATAATCGTGTTCCAATATCCAAAGCGTGTTAGATAAAAATCAATTAAGTAGCAGGGAGCGCACAATCACAACGAAGTTAGACGAGTCGACTATTTGCAACTGCAAGTCCTTCATCATCCGTAAACCGTTTTGAAATGTCTCAGTAAGAGCAAGCGCAGGATGGGCGGCAGGCTTTGTCGTGTATCTGGTTGTATAGTAAGATATGGCATATTATTACGATTACTAATAATATAAAATGAAGGTACTATAAAATGAATTTGTTCAGCTACTTAAATATGCCCATGTGTCATATCTATTGACTACCAGGATATTTTTACGGTGTCAATCTTTTGACTCCCAGCATATTTATTTTCGGTGTCATAATAAAAAAGGCTAGTTTTTCAGAGATCTATCGATTCATACTGATTACATTGTCGGCAGAGCTGGGTGCGTTTTGCCCATTGTCCTTTGACCTGAAAATGCATGCGTTGAAATTTACATAGAAAATATATTTTATGTAGTTTGTTAATTTAAGTACAAATAATTTCAAGGCGAAACATGCGAAATGTGGGTTGCGGGTTACATGAAGTTTGTGTTATGGACGTTCTCCACCAGCTGATATAAAAAAAATGATGTGGTTATAAGAAACCACGATGCAATTGAGTGAAACTTTTAAAATCATAAATAAAAAAATATCTTGTCTCAGCTGGGAGTCGACCCCGGGCCGTCTACATAGTAGGCGGGCTTTCTTCCACTAAATCAGCTATGATTGTTGTTAAGATCTCAATTTGATACATCATGCGCATTGCTTAAGATAAAAGAAAAATATTGTGGCGATATACTAAAACTATCATTTTAAAAAAACACAGTCTTGTATGCAGTGTTTTAAGACTTTGTTATAGAAGCAAAAAAAGGTATCCTGGGGCCATATGCAGTGGATATCAATTGTCTCCTCTCTGAGTTCTCATTTGCGTAACAAGCGTGATCTTTTTCGTCATATCTTTGTATTTCAAAAAGTTAAATATTTCATTATCAACTTCACAGCTCCCTGGACCTATGGCGTACGCGTATCGACGCAAAACACAACTTTTGGAGTTACAACGAGACATTGGCTGTAGCCGGCCGAATAAGGGACCAAGATGACAACCCGCTACTGTTGGAAGTGGACTACCGGCCGTTCTATATGAACAATCAGACGGTGCTAGGCGGTGGCAAATGTCCCCCAGGCTGGGATTACGTACAAGACACTTGCTATATGTACGTTGGGGCGCCGATGACTTATGAAGAAGCACGGCTGTTTTGTTTGGTGAGTCTAACATCTATTACAGTTGTTTATTACCACATTATACAGAACGAGGTAAGAAGGGTGATCATGTATCGTTTGTATGTCGATGTCGCCGGCTCCCCCACAACACTTCTGTCGAACCAATTATTGCTCACACCCGAATGCAACGACGAGATTCCCAACGGCTTAACTTGCCTTCGGATGCACGGAGGAGCTCGAGATAGTAAATTTTTGGTTACCCAGCAAATGACCAACCACTGCGAAAGTTGTTTAACTTCAACGATCGCAGCCGAACGCGCCAACCACTTGCGCCATCGAGCTGCTCGCAGCCTTTTACTTAGAACTTTATTTCAATAGATTTATAAATTTACCACACTGCTGAGCTTCCGCCTATTTGCATCACTGCCACTTACTAATGACTGTAGTTTAGACTTGATATTTAAGAATTGTATAAACTTATAATCATCTATACCTGCAGTGATAAAATGTATAATTAATTTTATTAATTTGTGATGCAAATAAATGAATGAATTTAATTTAATACATTTAGGATTCACAATCGATCGAGAAAATTTGAAACATTGCAGTTACTTCTAACTTTATGTGTCTAATAAAAAATGCCTTAATATCTAAATAAATATATTTCTTCATAGTCTGACAACGCGTCCATGCCCTACGTAAGCGGTAGCGTAAACTACGCAGCGTTGTACGAATTCATAGGGCGTCAGAACCAGTGGTTCCAGTACGGCGACCGAGTGTGGGTCAACCACATCGACTATGTGACGCAGTGCACTTCGTTCGCATTCTCCTCCGTGGACATTACGGATTGCAACCAGAAGAACGCTTTCATATGCGAAATCGGTAAGTACATAGTTTATCAGTGAAAGTTACCGTTAGGACTGAAGTTTTTGAAGTGAAAACTGCTTTAGCGGCGTTGTACACTTTTTTTTGTATGGGTTAAAAATGTTAAACACTTGGCTAATCGCATCATGACACACAATAAAATTGGAAAGGTTGTTGACTTTCAATATTTTGGATGAAAATAGTAATATTTTATTTTACCGTATTATAATAATAAGTCTCTATCTAGGACGTCCACGTGGCAGATTTAATTCGAGGAAAATGCTTTTTTTTTTACAATAGATGTCGCTAAGTGCGCTTAAACGTGATTCATGTAAGTTGATTTCTTTACAATAGATGTCGCTAAGTGCGCTTAAACGTGATTCATGTAAGTTGATTTTTCTGAGATATTTTTTTCTAATGTTATATAAATTGTCATGTTTGTGTATGATAGCGCAATAAATAAATATTGTATTCTACCACATACATGATAGTACTTTTTTACTGATAATTAAAGCAATTCGTGCAACCCTAACCATTCCAAAATATCACAAATGCTCAACGTTAATATTCAAGTTTTCACTTCTGCCGGCACTCCCGGAGTGCAACCCGTCGTTTTTTTTTTATATAGGTTCGACAAATGACTCCCCACCTGATGTTAAGTGACGGTGAAGTCCAGACGCGAAGATAGTTGATATAGCAGTTCTGCCTGCCACACCAGCGATCCTCACCCTGCCGGTCTGCATGTTGCTTCTTCACGCCTCTTTTAAAGGATCCTAGGTTGTAGGAGGGAGGGAACACGTGAGCAGGCAGAGCATTCCATTTACGGATAGTGCGACAAAGAAATGAGTCACCTAACTTTGTACGCGTTGGAATAGTGGACACAGTTCGGTGGCAACGTAAGCCAGCGCGCGTGGCCCTCTGAAGGAAAGGGGAAGGTGGACTAAGAGAGAATAACTTCTTAGAACACTCGCCGTGACGTACAGACGACAGAACGCGCGTAATGACGCTATGTCACGGCGTTATTGTTGAGGTTCGCGGTGTTTAGTCACCGCCTCATCGCCTATAAGAATGGAAAAGAATGGGAATAATTAACTCTACCCCCTCGTCTTGTAACCATTTTCTGTAAACCTTAAAAATCAATCTACAAGATTGAAAGGTTCACGCTTGGATGGTTTAGATTTAGATACATGTAAGAATATACGGAAGAAATCTGTAGAAAGATATTTAAAGAGAGAATCTATTTGGTCTAGAAGCATCATCAGGAGAAGTTAATCGCGTACAGCCTACAACTGAAAAAAAGTTGATACCTATTAAACTAGCTTATACGTACTGTTATAACCTGCCTACCTCATGCCTACTACAGAAATGTTGCTGACTTAGGAAAACTATAATGAATAATTATTTCCAATATTAAAATTGTGATCAGCAATATTTTATGTATAAAAACCCGCGATTTCAATATTACAGTTAGTCTTGTTCTGATTTGTGGAATTGCTGCCCAACAACGGACCTGGTTTCTGCCTGCCGGTTGGCCTTCAGCAAGGAAACTCTGAGGAACTATTCAACGGCCTAGTAAACTAGCCCGTCGCGAGTCGTTATCCTTAAAACTAAAAGGAAGTAGTAGTGAACAATAAAGTGATAGCAGTGTTATAACAAACATAAATATATAAATAAAGTGATTGTGAGCAAATAAAGTTTTTTTTTTAAATTAAACTAAGTGCTCCGTCTAACATTTGGTGTCAGAAGAAAGCAGGGATTTACTCCCTGATGGTCGCCTACTCCTGACGACGACCAGAATCACTGCCGTCGATATAAGCCCATCCCGTGGGTTTGCTTGAGCTGCCAGCCTGCCGCCCGACCGTCTCTCTGACATAGAGGTGTGTCAGCCACTCCAGCTACAACCATCGACGATCATCATAACTACTGACTGACTTCGCGTTGATGTGCCGAGGGTTCTTTGCCCAGCGCATCACACAGAAGAAGGCTCCGCACCACTCAGAAGAAGACTCCGCTTCAACCGTGCTAACACATAGCACGACTTCGTTTACGCATCGAGCATTTACTGCATAACTCCGGATAGCCGGCGCTAAGGCGTCTGACCTACTTATCGCCGCACCGTGAAAAACGCTGTATCAACAAATGACCGCGATACTATTTCTGTGAGTGCATAATAATAACGTTATATTTTAATCAACTTATTCTCTCTTAATTGGATTATTTTTTTTTTTGTTCTAATCTTAATAAAAAGTGATCATGGCTAACGAAAAAGTAAAATTAGAACTATCTGGGTTGTCTAGCGTAACTGTACCGGGTGAAAAAGAAAACACATCTGTAAGTTTTCTTACAAAATTTATAAAGCCCTTCGATGGGGATAGAAATAAATTATCGTCATTTTTACGTAACTGTGACAATGCATTAAACCTCGCGTCCAGCGCACAATGCGATATTCTCTTTAAATATATTTTATCGCAGTTAGAGGGGAAAGCCGAAACGGCTTGCTCTCTGAAGATTTTTGACAGTTGGGTTGAACTAAAATCATTCCTTAAGACTACATTCGGGGAAACTAAACATAAAGATCACTTATTATTAGATTTACAGAGCTGCAAACAAAAACCTAACGAATCCATATCACAGTATAGCTTACGGTTAGAGACATATTTAACTAGATTACAAACAGATATCACGCATTCTACCGTGGACCAGAGTGAACTGAAAGGGCGAATAGCAAATACTGAAGACCTAGCCTTACATACATTTTTATTAGGAGTACCTAGTCATATCTCCAACATATTAAGATGTAGGAACCCGTCTACCTTGGGTGAGGCAATAAATTTAGCCATTCAAGAAGAAAAACTTTATAACCTTGTCCAATCTACAAAAACCCTTGATATAAGACCTAGGTGTCGAACCTGTGGCCGCATAGGTCACATTGACAGAAACTGTCTGTTAAATAGGCAGCGCCCAATTCACAACGTTTCTTTCGATAGACCTTCCACTTCGCAACCACCACCAACTAATATTTGTCGCTATTGCAAACACCCTGGCCATGATATAAAAGACTGCCGTAAAAGACAATACAACAACTCACGGCAGAATCAGAATAGACAAATACATAATATATCAGGGGAATATATTAACAATACTAATTATAACGACAACTTTTCACAACCTTTTAATAATAATTCTTACTATTCCGAGTCTTTAAACTAAAAAGAGTTCCGCCTGAGCGTCGTCATACGGAACCATTGAACTATAACGACGCCATTTACCATGTCAATGATCAATCTATCATAAGTCCTTCTATATCCAATAACTATAATAAATTTATCAATTTTACTAAGTCCACTGTATCCGCTAACTCCGCTGTATCTACTATTCCCAATGAACCTACAATCTCTATTTTACCTACTATTTCCACTGAATCTACTAACTCCGCTGTATCTACTAACTCCACTGTATCTACTAAATCCACTGTATATACTAATTCCGCTGTATCTACTAACTCCGCTGTACCTACTAAATCCGCTGTATCTACTAACTCCGCTGTATCTGCTAATTCCAGTAAACCTATGTACTCCACTGTATCTACCATTTCCGCTGAACCTAGTACCTCCACTGTATCCACTTTCTCCACTGAATCAACCAATCCCGCTGTATCTACTAGCTCCACTGTATCTATCACTCCTAGTGTATCTACCAATTCCACTGTGCATACTACCATTTCTTCCGAACTTATTAAACCCTTTCAACTTAACACTACTGCTAGCAACTTAGATACATTTACTAATTCCAATATTCCTTGTAAATCTACCGAACCCCCTAACACAACTAAAATCTCTAAACCCACTGCATCTTCTAACTCTGGCCTACCCCGCATTTCTAGTAAACAAACTAATCCTGCTAAATCCCGTAAAAATTCTATACCCCGACATAGAAAATCGAACTCAACTACTGAATCTGTCAAAGCTTCTTGTCCTAAGCCAAAGAAAACCCAGAAACCTAAAAGACACACAGAAACCGAAGAACAATCCAATACTAACTCGCAACCATTATACATACACGAAATAAATTACAATTCCAATACACATTTGCCTCATATATATATAAACTCTCAGTACTCTTCTAAACCCCTAATACTTCTAGTCGATTCTGGTTCCACTGTATCCTTACTTAAGAAATCTTCACTAGAAAAGCAACCTACCTTAGTGAAAGAAATTATCAAATTCAAAGGTATAGATAAAGATGCCGATCATTCTATTAGTTTAGGTCATTTCCAATTAGATATTATTCTGTCAAATTCCGAAACCATATATGGAACTTTCCATCTAATTCCAGACTCCGTTGAGATTAATTTTGATGGTATAGTAGGAAACGATTTCCTTAGATTATATACCTCCAGCATTGATTACAAAAATGATTGCTTATTGATAAATAATAATAAAGTAAAACTACATTTTACCAAACCTCATTATGTAATACCAGCTCGTTCTGAAATGATAATAGAATGTGAAGCGTCTAATCCCGAAGTTTTATTAGGTTATGTAGATAAAAAGGAAATACAACAAGGTGTATACTTATCTAATTGTCTTGTATCTGTTAAAAGAAATAAACATATTAACGTCTCTATACTCAATACCACAGATGATAATATTACTATACACTCCCTCAATGTAGAATTAAACCCTTGCCATATCTTAAACGAATCATTTCCAAATCCAGTATCAAATTCACAGATTAACACTATTATTCCACCAAATAGGATATACAAAGTAAAAGAGCAAATTAGAACTTCCCATCTTAATGTCGAAGAATCCAAGGTACTCCTGGAACTATGTTCAGAATACTCAGACCTTTTCTATCTAGAAGGAGACCAACTAACATGTACCGATACTTTGACTCATGAGATTAAAACTACTAATTCCCAACCGATTCATGCCAAAACTTACAGGTACCCTGAGTGTCACAAAGAGGAAGTCAATAGACAGATTCAAAAGATGTTAAAAGAAAACATTATCAAA